TTTTGTGGGTAACTTCAAACTAATGATAAGATTCAGGAAAATATAATATTCACTACACAGATAAATTTACTTATAAGGTAAAAATTTTCCAATAGCAAAGGCTCACAAACATTCTGTGAATTTCTGGGGCAGTATACTGACTTTCCTTTTTAAAATTCTAAAAATAAAAAGACTCCTCCATCTGGAATGAGTTAAGTATGCTCATGTGCAGAGACATGGAGATGAACTGAGATCACCTTTTAGGTCTCCACAATTCTATGATTTAATAGAGGACCCTCCACTCAGGTGTCTAAAAAGGAAGAAACTGAAGATTTAAGAAAAATGGGGAAAGGGTTTTAAGATAACAATCTGTAATTTATACTCAGCTATTCTCTGTCTCACCTGAGTGGCTAATTCCTCCCTCCTCTCAACTATTTGGTTTAATTTCTTTTACAAAACGGTTTTGATAAGGAAGGGAGAAAAAAGAAGATACCTTGGGAAAGGTCAGACAAAAATCTGTTCAGCCAAAAATTCAAGTCAAAAGCTAAAATATGCATTATTTTTAGACATAAGTGCCCAATCTGGAAAGATGGAGACAAGTCTTTGTCTCCCCCAAAAGTATTACATTTCCCACCCATATTTATCTCAGTCTTGGATATATAGCAGCCAATTGTTTAAACTACAAGTTACTCAACCTATAACATTAGTGACCACTCAAAAAACTAATAGAACATTTATATTATTTTGTTCCACATTGTTTCACTACTGGCTGACATAAACTTAGTTAATTGCTAGGGACAAATGACCTTTTTGGCAACCAGAAATATGGGTTGTAACAGGGTTCAAATGTAATGTCTTAAAATTAGTAACCTATGAGGCATTTGTAGCCTGGCAAAGAGTTTAATCAATTATAAAAAAAAAAAAAAATCTATATTCTTTTGCTGTCAGTATTTCTCCCACCTCCATGTGTTCTGATACATGCTCTGGAAGATACTTAAGGATAAGGAGGAAATATAAAGGAATGATGAAAATAAAAATAAATTGGAAATGGAAACCTGAAATGTGAAGCAACAAATGTTTACTTGAAAACAGACTATTGAGCACAGACAGGAATATACAAACTGAGAGCAAACATACGACAAATAAATATGTGACCTTCTGGCTGTATGTTAATGTGGTCTGAGAAATATTTAATACAGGCCTTTGTCTAAGCAGAGAAAAAGCTCCATTACCTAGTGCAAACTCTGTGTACTGATCCATATTCCACACACCTTTCGTCTAAAGTAGCAACCACATCACTATTAAACTGTTTCCACCAGTTAGCAAAAACTTATGTACACTGTCAAAGTATAAAATCTTTTTGAAATTTTATATTCCAAAGAAACAAATTTAGGGGATTGAGTATGTATACATAGGAGCTGAATTGATTCACAAGAAGATTTGGTCTGACCTGTCATCCATGCTGGCCACAAATCTCACCAGAGTCAGCAGCAGGACTGTTAGGAGAATTGTGGAGGAGAAAGAAGATAAATGGGGTAGTTCTTTTTGCCATTTGTGCAGTGTGGACAGAGCATGCATGGCAATTAAGTATCTCAAAGGACCAAGAAGGCATGGACTGTAATTTGTTGAACAGTGAACTATACTAGTTGTTCAGATAAGTAAGTAAATAAATAAATAAATAATGTACAAATAGCAGTTATTTCTTAGAACAGCCCTCTAAATCTACATATATTAATAAATCACTTAGAAATCAGGTGACATGCATCTCAAAGAATTTTGGTAAAAGTTCTAATAAAAATAGGAATATACCAAGAGTACAGTTACCAGATTAAACAAGACTATGAAATAGATAAACGTAAGAAAAGCTGAACAAAACTAGGTTACAGATAGATTTTTCTTAAACAACAAAGTTGTCTTAGAACTTGTATAGCATTCAATATCTACTAGGTGTTTCAGTAATTAATTTTATCAGTAAGCCTGTCTTACGGATGAGCAAACTAAAGCACTGAAGGATTAAGTGAATTTCTTAAGATCACACGAAAAGTTGGAGGAAGTGGTCTTGATCAATCCTTAGATATAATCATTTATTCATTAACATACTCAACAAACATTTGACCAACTAGTATGCTGGGCGCTGATGACAAAAAAGACAAAAATCTCCACTTTGAATAAGCTCACAGTCTAGTAGAAAAACTGCCAAGTAAGCAAGTAATTACACTACACTGTGATAAATCTTTTCATAGCAGCATAGTGCAGGTGCCCTGGGATAATCTAAATCTGTCTGAGTGAGAGCCAGGGAAAATTTCACAGAGCAACAGCAACTTCGGCCAAGTCCTCAAGGAAAAATAGGAAGTGGCCAGGTAAACAAGAGAGGAAAGAGCAATGGGTTCAGAATGAATAAAAGCAAGGAAGCTTTTCATGTCAAGAGTTTATCATGAGCTGCAAGTAAAAGTACATGGCTAAAGATGGAGATAAAGTTCCAGAAATAGCAAAGGGGCCATATGACTAAAGAGTTCAGACCTTAGCTGTTAGGCAATGAAAAGCAACTGAAGGACTTCATGCCAGAGAGTGTCATAACCATGTTTCATTTATTAACAGGAGTCTGTGGTCGTTCTGTGAAAGACAGCTTAAAGCAAAGAGGATAAAGCCAGATCCAGGGAAACCCATTAGGAAACGTATCCAACAGCCAAAGCAAAAAATAAGAGCGTAAATTAAGGCAGGAGAATAAAGTAGGAAGAACTACTTTTCCCTTATTCTTCAGGGGAACTTCTATCAGGTCATGTTATAATCAGGCAGGTAATGTTATATATAATGAAAGAATGTTGTAACACCGTTATTCGTATACTTAGAGTTACTCTGACGTCAAAAGACATCAGTTATATCAACCGACCAAAGGGACATGATAATATAAGAAAAGTTCTAAAATATTTGGGATAAATTTCAGTAACAAGAATATTTTTATAATCTTAGTTTCAAGCTCTAGCAATTCTACATCAATTTATAGTAATAAATATTGAAGTAGAAGTAGAGAATGAGCATGGGATATGTAAACCAGTGAAACAACAGAGAATTTAATGCATCGTTAGCAGTCCAAACCTCTGTAGACTCATTAACCTCTTAAAACCTGGAATAAAATTCCTCAGCGCTTTTCACGTTGATGAAAAACAAATTAGCAGCGACAAAGCTAATTGAAAAATTACGGCAAATACAGTCGATGCAGTCAGTTATTTATCTTGAGACACACAAACAAGAATCTCAAGTGTGAACAGAATTCAGCAGAATACACAACAACATAAACAAGGATACAATGGTAATTGCTGCCTTTTACCAAAACACAGCAATATAAAAACTCCACCTCGTGCCAGTCTTCGAGTTTGTTGTCAGAAAGATCTAGCTCCGACACGTGAGCGCAGAAGGCGGCAATTTCTTTTTCGTCTCCTGCACAGGTTATTCCACAGCTGTTCAACACTAGCACACTTGGGAGGTTGAGGCGATCTGAATCACAGGGGACACATAATACATTCTGCATTAGCCTAATTTTTGTTTTTTTTTTTTTCTTTTTGAGACAGAGTCTTGCTCTGTTGCCCAGACTAGAGTGCCCTGGCGTCAGCCTAGCTCACAGCAACCTCAAACTCCTGGGCTCAAGCAATCCTCCTGCCTCAGCTTCCCGAGTAGCTGCGACTACAGGCATGATCCACCATGCCCAGCTAATTTTTTCTATATATATATTTAGTTGTCCAGATCATTTCTTTCTATTTTCAGTAGAGACAGGGTCTCGCTCTTGTTCAGGCTGGTCTCGAAC